CGCCGCCACCGCCGCCACCGCCGCCAGCAACTCCGCCTCGAGACCGCGCGAGACCGGCCCCCGCGGCCGCCGCGAGACCGCGCACGCGCCCCCGGCACGCTGGCGCAGCGGGCGCGCCTATCCCAGTTCCCTCCTCGGCGCGCCCCGCCCGCTCCTAGGCCCGGAGGCTGGCGCGGTTCGCCCAATCCCGCGCCGGCGTGGAGGGAGGGCCCACTCGTTGGTCCGCCCCGCAGCCCCGAGCCGTGGGTCGCGCGCACTCGCGCGCCTCTAAGTGAAACGCGAGCTGCTTTTTGCTCGTCCGCGTGAGGCGACCGCTTTGAGGTTGAGCCGCCCGGCCGAGCCGTGTGGGGACGTGAGATTTCCCTGAGACTTAGTCCGACGCGGGCTGTAGTCGGGAGAGCCCTTGACCTTAGTCTCCCTGACTGCCCGTCAGTCAGCTCCTGAAGAAAATCTGGTTCCCGTTGTGGCAACTCCAGTGTTCTGTGAGGCACGTCACACAATCTAACATTTGTTTAAAGAACCATGACATACTTAAACACCTGGATATGTGTAGCGTCCCACAGAATTCTCTGTTACGGCAGAAAACTCCAAAAAGCTAGCAGCTAGGACCGAGTTCTGAAAAACGGAAAGGAAGAAGGGCCGGGCCACAGCTGTTTCACAAAACTCGAGTGAATGCACTTAGTTACCTGGGCCACCCCGTATGCAGTGCAAGGAAATCCACAAAAAGTCTCCAGGACTCCTTAGAAACTGTTAGTCACATCCAAAAAGGAAATAAAAAAGGCGTGTATGTGACCTATTTTCTCTTAAATGCGTAAAGTAAATAATAATTCAAGAAGCTTCCTCTAAGCTCCTCAATGAGTTCTTCCTCTGGCACAGGGTTTCCCAGTCTTAGCGCTATTGAATTTGGACCAGCTAATTTGTCATGGGGGCTGTTCGGTGCATTGTAGGGTGTTTAGCAGCATCCCTGGTCTCTCCCTATTGGGTGCCAGTAGTACCACTACCCCCATTGGTGACCAGCAAAATGTCTCTAGACGTTGCCAAAGGTCCCCTGGTGGCAAAATCGCCTGCAGTTAAGAACCACTGATCTACCTGTTCAGAGAAATGGCCTCTTAGGAAGATAGTCACTCTTTACTCATATCTTCCAATTGCCTGGCCCCAAGCAGGTTTACAAAACACCACCGCCCAAATGAACCCTCCAGCTACCTAGCCTTGCTTCACCAGCTGCTTGGACTCCTCTGTCACAGGACCCCACCCTAATAGAATGGCGATCACTATCTGTGTGAGAGAGCAGCTACTGATCTCAAAATATGGGGAAATACCTTTCTAAAGTGCTTTCCAAATATTATTTTTACTTCCTAAAGGTATTTTCGTTTTAAAAGAGGGTGGACCCAATGGCAGATAAAAAAAAAAAAAATGTATTCTCTGCTAAATATTACATTCCCAGAATCCCCAAATCATTCAAATTACTATCCTTGTGTGCAGAAGAAGAAGAAGAAGAAGAAGAAGAAGAAGAAGAAGAAGAAGAAAAGGTATAGAAAGTGGATGTAAGGTGATTCTATTTGAGTTGTAGTTTTGATGATAACTAGTTCTGTGATTTGATGATAACTACTTCTGGGATACATGACAAGATTCCTGGGCCTAAATTTTCTCATCTGTAATATGTTTCTTGTTTCCGGGTTTTGTTTGTTTGGTTTTAGATTTAAAATTCTGGTAGCCTCTGTATATGGAATGTAACATGGATGGCTTAGGTTAGAAATATATAGTATTTCTATATATAGAAATATATATATATATTTCTATAGTTAGGTTAGAAAATATAGTATTCATCCTTAAAAAAGAATGAAATGGGTAATCTGTGGTTTAAAACCTCAAAAGAGTCATTCATTCTTGTCATAGGGAAGTTCACCCACTGAATCACTCTGGCAAATTTGTAACTAAGTATTTTGGGTGAAGTAGTAAAAGGCAAACTGTAAAGTCAAGTGTACAGTGGAAAGTAACGGCAGCAAATACCCTTCTGCCTTCCTTATTTTGGCATCTGCCAACAGCCTCTATTATATGTTTATATAATATAATGTTATACTATTTTATTTCATTAAAGTCTTGAGGAAATATGTTAATATTTCATTTCAGACATTTGCAACAGATCTGAAATCTCAGTTTTCAAGATTCTACCATTCACCATTATATGGGAAATCCTTAACTAAAGGATATAATCAATATCCCTCTGGTTTTCTTACCTATAGGCACTAGTGAAAGCTGTTTCCATAACTGGGTTAGCAGCCTAATCTCTATAATTGTATGAACCAGAGATCAGAAATAATGTAAACTAAAAGAATACTCACTGATTCATGTATGTTGTAAAATAAGCAATTAGTAGGTGAGTTCATCATTAACTACATATATTTAAAAAGTATAAAATAGCCAAAAAAAGCAAACTAACAGGGGTGCCTGGGTGGCTCAGTTGGTTAAGCATCTGACTTCAGCTCAGGTCATGATCTCATGGTCTGTGGATTGGAGCCCCACATCAGGTTCTGTGCTGACAGCTTGGAGCCTGGAGCCTGCTTTGGATTCTGTATCTCCCTCTCTCTCTCTCTGCCCCTCCCTGCCACCCCGTGCATTTGCATGCGCACTCTCTCTCTGTTCTCTCTCAAAAATAAATATTTAAAAAGTTAAAGAAAGCAAACCAACAAGCCCTGAAGTTTTTGAATTTCATTGTGTTTAGTTATTATTTTGATGTGTTTCTTCACCTTTCATCTAGCTAAAAAAATTATGTCTCTAAGCTAAAAGCATTATGCAGTTGTTGCCATGCGGAATGAGAGGTCCCACTGTCTAAGGTTAGCGGCAGTATTATTTAATACAGGTCAGTATCATTCAACTCAAATAGCTTTACTATTCACACATTAATTCAAAAAATATATACTGATACTTGCTGTACTGTAAGGAATTAAAACGTGACAGTTCTCATCCGGGAGGAATTAACAGGCAGCTTGGGAAAGGGACAAGACAATCCCATATAGATAAAATACATTAGGAAAGTATGGCAAATGAAAATAAGGTGTTCTGTGGACTCAAAGGTAAAGTCTTATACTATGTAATGATGGGTGACAAAGAAAGGAATAGAGAATAAACTATTATGAAAATACCTTCAATAATAGAAAAACCAAGGTCTTGTACATGACTTTAAAAAGATGAGTAAAAAACGTTTATCAATTTAAATAGGTGAAGTACGCAAAGAAAAGTATGGGCTTATTATGGGAACAACAAGTATCAACCATAACTTCAGGGTAAGATATTCAGTATTTAGGATGTGAGTCATTTATCACACTTTCATTTGTACCTTACTTGGATGGTTCTGTGCCAGGCTGGGGATGAGTAGACACATAAAACATGGTCCTGGAAAAATTTTATTTTGAAGAGAGGAGGTAGACAAATTCGGAGCTTTGAAAAAAATTTTTTTAATTTATTTATTTTGAGAGAGAGAGAGGGATAGAGAAATCCCAAACAGGCTCTGCACCATCAGCACAGAGCCCCATATGAGGCTCAAACCCACGAACCACGAGATCTTGACCTGAGCGGAAATCAAGAGTGAGACACTTAACCAACTGAGCCAACCCCTTGGAAATTTTTTAAATGAAGGAAAGATCAAGACTTAATGCCAAGAGAAAGGAAATCAAGTTTGTTCTCCTTGAAAATAGCTATAAAAATTTCCCATATCTTTTCCTCGCTAAGCTCCCAATCAAATCTCTATTTTGTCTGTACAACAAATCTTTGCTGCTGCTTTAATTCATATCTATATGTGAATATCTATGACTGGGAATGGGATGTTATCTGTGCTGAACTCCAGAGTTGAACTTAAATGCCTCTTTTATCCTCTCTTGGACTGACTCTGAGCTTTAACTCCACCACTGCTTCAAAATAACCTTTGTCAAAGTCATTAATTAGAGCCACTTTGTTAAATGCAAATGTTAATGTTTGGTTCTCATCTTACTTTGACTTGCCAGCAGCATTGGATGCCACTGAGCATTTTCTCCATTTTATCCTCTGGGCTCTTGAAAAGAGCTTCTCTTCCTACCCACTGGAACCTCCTCCTCATCTCCTTTGTTGGTTCTTTATCTCCCTGAATGCTTAAAATTGGAGTGTCCCAAGATTCTAACATTCAGTGTTTACTTCCTCTCTGCCTGGCTTTCAATCCCAGCTCTACCACTTGCTGACCGTTTGATCAAAACAAAATAATTTCTCCGAGATTCAGTTTCCTCATTTATAAATTAAGGATCATGAAAGTAGCTACCTACTACAGTGGTTGTAAAGACTGAATATATATGTAAAGTGCTTATAACAGTGTTCTACACTGAATGCATTAATCATTTGTCCTTATTCTTATCATATTCTTCATCGTTCACTCCCTACATGATTTCATCTGATATCATGGCTTTAAATTCCATCTATACACTGTCTTTTTTTTTTTTTTTTAAGTTTATTTATGTTGAGAGAGAAAGAGAGGGAGGGGTGGAGAGAGATGGAGAGAGAGAGAATCCCAAGCAGGCTCCACGGTGCCTGATGCAGGGCTCAAACTCAGAAACTTTGAGATCATGACCTGAGCCAAAGTCAGACACTTAACTGACTGAGCCAAGCAGGTGACCCTACACTGTCAATTTTAAATTGATCTCTAGTCTGAACTTCTGCTGCAAACTCCAGAATCATGTATTCAACTGTTGGCTCAACATTGCTGTTAGAATTTCTAATGAGCATTATAAATTTAACATGTCAGAACTTTTTTAGGAATAACTTCTGTCTAAAGATGATTGTTTTTGTTCCTAAGTGGTCCTCTGTGTGGTGAAGAAGGGAGAGAGTATGGCAAATGCAAAAAGAAAAAGGAAAAGAAAACTATTTGCTCTTTACCACCTCCTCCTATGCTTCATGGTTGATTTTAACTACTATAATAATCCCTCATTTATTTATTTTTAATAAACGTTTATTTATTTTTGAGACAGAGAAAGACAGAGCATGAACAGGGGAGGGGCAGAGAGAGAGGGAGACACAGAATCTGAAACAGGCTCCAGGCTCTGAGCTGTCAGCACAGAGCCCGACGTGGGACTCAAACTCACGGACTGTGAGATCATGACCTGAGCCGAAGTCGGACTCTTAACCGACCGAGCCACCCAGGCGCCCCAATAATCCCTCATTTAATTAATACAGCTGAGAATTAGAAGGCAGAAAGCTTCTTCAAAAGTCAAGATTAGTTGCACTTCACTTTTATTCCTGAACTGACAGAAGTCTCTGACAAGCTTAGATATCTTTTTTCTAACATCTAAGTGATTATAAGGTCTTATTATATGTGTGATTCTTTAATGGATGTGTCAGTTCAAAGCAGACATACCCCTGCCATGAGACAGGGTCAAGGAAGTCAGTCGGAGGAACAGTTTCTGATGGAAATTACAGATCAGATAAACAAGGTAATTCTAACTAGGAACTTGCAAAAACTCAGTGGAAACAGATATCTGGGATTTACAAACTTTTTTCCTCATCACAAAAATCCAAATCTTTAGAAGGTAAAATCCATTCAGTGGTTGTAAGGGGTGAGAGTAGGCTGGGGTGGGAGTTGGGGGGGGGGCATGGTTAATTGCAAATGGTACAAGGAAAGTGGTTCATTTAAATGAAAACATTTAGGGGCACCTGGGTGACTCAGTTGATTGAGCATCTGACTCTTGATTTCAGCTCAGGTCATGAACTCATAGAGAGAGACAGAG